GTAGCTGTTGATCTAAATAAGTCACAGATTTCCAAAAGGATGTACACTTGCTCTTTCATCGTCTCCTCTCTGCTTTCACAACTCATTCCAACGTCTTGGAGGCTTCCCAGTTGTCCTTTTGGTCCGTTACGATGATGTCCGCAAGACGGAGGACTATGTGAGTAAACCTCCATTCCTTGTCAACTTTGGGGTCTTTTAAAGGCAGCTTAGTTCTCTGAATTGAGAGAAGCGTGAGGTAAATGAGAGAACATCTGTATTGATGCTAAGTGTCACAATTTTCTGCGTTTCGCTTGGGTTGGCGTCAGATGGCACATGAGTCAGCACTGCAAAGACTGATAAACTAACCTTTAATCCAGGGGAGGAGATAGATTCCCGTGGAGAATTTGCTCACTGTCTGTTTATAGCTTTCTCAAAGGGCCGGGACATCGCTGGCGTGGAATATTCTGCAGATTCTGAGGTATGACAGAGACTTCCATTAGTAAAACGTGTTGCCCTTTTTGACACAGGGAGAGGATGAATCTCTCTCACGCCGAGGAGAACTGCCTCAGAATCCAAACGGCTTATTTCTGAAGCTGGGTGTAGCTTTGTTGTAGCTACTTGTTTGGCAGAATTTCTCTGGTAGAGTTATCTTAGGATTTTTTATATTTATCTTGGGATTTTTTTCAGGAAATGCCTTGCCTATTTTTTTCCCTTAAGCTGCACAAAGGTACATACCTCCTCAAGATACAGTAAGGAGGAATGATAGAGAAGGGAGTGGAACATCTCCCTGGTGAGGAAAGGCTGAAGGAGCTGGAGAAGAGGAGGCTGAAGGGTGACCTCATTCATGTTTCTAAATACATCAAGTGGGAGTGTCAGGAGGACGGAGCCAGGCTCTGCTCGGGGATGTCCAATGACAGGACAAGGGGCAATGGGTACAAGCTGGAGCACAGGAGGTTCCACAAAAACATTAGGAACAACTTCTTCGCTGTGCGGGTGCTGGAGCCCTGGCCCAGGCTGCCCAGAGAGGGTGTGGAGTCTCCTGCTCTGGAGACTTTCCAGCCCACCTGGACACGTTCCTCTAGGGCTGCCCTGGGTGACCCTTCTCTGGCAGGGGTTGCACTGGGGGATCTCTAGAGGTCCCTTCCAACCCCAACATGCTGTGATTCTGTGAACATACCTGGAATGGAAAGATTGGAGGCTGCCTATTTGGAGCTCTCCTGTGCCCGTCCAAACTTCCCTCTCGCTTGGGAAGGCAATCTTCCTGAAGGGAAGGGATGTGCACTTTCTGCGTTATTTAGGTTATTCGTCTTGTTTTGCTTGAAGGAGAAATTGTGGCACTTCTGCTGTGTGCATACCTGCAGCCTGGAATCTCCTTTCTTAAAGATTATGATTTGGTCCTTGGCTGCTGCTTCTGACAACCAGATGTCTCGTGGGTTTCTCTGTATGTGACCTCTGGATATGGACTGCCACTGAGGTTAGGTTTTTGTTCTTTCACTTCATGTGTCATCCTTGATTTCACACCTTCCTATCTCCATCCCCGGTCACTGATGCCCACAGAGTGAGCCTGCGCTCTCCGTTGCCATCAGCTGTCTATTTTTAACGCTGCCACCTTCTCATATTGCCAGCAGGAAATATTAGCAGGTATACATAAGTCCATGTATTTTCCCTGCCTTCAGGATCCCTAAAACAACTCCTCCCACATACCTGTACATATCCGACCTCTTGGAAGAGTTCACTGAGCTATCACTGCGTTCAGAAATTGCTTTCATGCTTCTCTGTGCTTTGACACAGAAAAATGTCCAACCCTGTGAAATCTTTTCTTGCTGCTCTGATGTGGATTGGCCCAATGTAAGTGAAATGGCCATTTCGGTAGCTGTAAAGATCCTGCTTGGGAATTAAAATTTCCCCGTGATATTAGACACAGCGGAGATGCAGCGTGGGGCTTTTTGCTGAAACATCACAAAATCCCAGGAGGAAAACAAGAAGGAAATTCTAGGAAAGTTAACAGCACATGCAAGTTGTTTTTTTTTAATGTAATGATAAGGAAAATCTGAGAGCAGAAAAGCTTTTGAGTGGTGTGTTGCTAGAAAGAAGCTTAGATCCTCCCTGTTGTTGCGTAATGACAGGTGAGTTCAGTTATTATTCTATTTTGCTTTCAAGATCCAATTCAGTTCGTGATGAAACCATGATTTAAGCTCTAGTATCTTGACACTTAATGAGTTAAGGTCTTACGGTGTCAAGTCCTGTTTAGTAGGCTGTTGTGCTTTGACCTCCTGAGTTTGAATTTTGTCTCAATCGAGTAAGATGTCCTGTGGTACAACCATACAATATCTAGTCCTCACTGAGAGACTGAGCTTCTACGTTCTGAGACTTGCGAATAAAAATAGCACCGTCTTACGTAACGCTTTGATTTCTGCTGTGGAGATTTCATTTTTCTCTCCTCTATCAACTGCCACATCCTGTTCTTGGTTAGCTGCTCTCGTCAGAAGGGGTAACTCGTCTTCCCGGAATGCCAAAACGTGGATGCTGCACGTGTAGAGAAAGCAGTGAGGAAGGCTCCTGGCTAGCAAAAGCCTGAAGGGACTGGCTGCTAACGCGCCCCTTTTCCTATCTCTGATTGTCAGGTATTTATACAGGTTCAGGTTAACAATGCGACGGGTCCCGAAAACCAGCTGATAATCTGCAAGCTGTCCTGGAGAGTCTTTTTTTTCCATGCCTAAGAACAGTTTTATGCAGTTTCTATGGATTCGCTGCCTGGGGTCGAATACACCCACTTCTGCTTGAAGGACGTTGTGATTCTGTGACTTTGCTGTGTTAGCACCGAACTAGAACAGTGCTACGGAGGTAAAGATTTCTAATATTGGTCAAGGATTTGGTGTATTTTTTCATTTTCTGGTCGGATAGTTTTAATTTGCATTGTTGTGTTTCTGTAGCTGTTCACACGTTCCTTCTGTTCAATTAATCTTTTTCCTTTCTTTCTTTTATTTTACCACACATTATTTTATCTTCTTTCTAGGTCTCTGTTAACTCTCCGGAGTGTTAAACCTCAGAGAGGAGTGTTAATAGCTGAGATATCACCCTTGGCATGCTTAACTGTAGACAAGTTGTTTGAACTTGTAACACTTGGAAAATGAAAGCTAATATATTTGTTTTGTTATTCCCATGGAAATGAGATATTTATAATGAGCTTCTAAAAACAAGTTACAAATACACACAGAGCAGCTGATTCTTCGTAGAAATTGCTTAATAAAAAAAAAAAAAAGGTTGGTTGTGGGTGGGTTTAGTTGGCTTGGTTTTTTTTTCCCCTACAAATTCCAAGTAGTTAGTTGCAGCTTATTCCAGGTGGTTTTCTGATTATATTCTTAATTTTCACCATCACGATGTTCTTTCATTAGCTAATTCTGTGAGATACTCCAGCATACACTCACCTAAAGCAGCCAAGCAGCTGTGAACACCAAAGTTTGGTTAACAAGCAGGTGAATTTTATTTCTGGCTAAAATAGGGAGTGTGAGGGATGTAGAGATTTGCTACATGTTGGGCTGTACTGAAAATAAAGGATACTATTAAGGAACAGTATGTAGAGGGTTGTGTTAGCATTGAATTTTTTGGGGACTAACCCATTTTTCTTTTTTCTTTTTTTTTTTTTAAACCTGGGACAAAATTTCATTTTGTGTTTAATTAATTGAAGGATGAGCTGGCGCGTGCTTTCTCTATTCTTGCATCGATCGTTTATTCCTGTATAAACAGCTGTCACCAGTGAAAAGACTCATCTGGGATGTGTGGTGGCTTGTTGGTTGTTTTTTTTTTCTGTTGTGGTTTTGGGGTTTTTTTTGTTCTGATTTGCTTGGACTGCTCTCTAAATTGACATCAAAAGAAGTGCTTCAGTAGCAAACAAAATTTGTGTAGTAGCGTTGTTTCCCAGCAACGTGAGCCCTCGAGTATTTCTTTAGCTTTGAGGGTTTCATAATGTTGTAAGCAATTGAAAATGTCTTCTGCTGTTAAACATTGAAGGTTTCAGCAGTAGAAGCATCAGAGCATCTTTTAATTTTTTTTTCTATTCTATTTTAATTTTTTTTTTCTATTCAATCTGTTAAGTTTTTGTTTAAATGGGTTAAATTTTCATAGAATCCTAGAACAATTCAGGTTGGAAAAGCCCCTTGGGATCATCGAGTCCAACCATTGACCCTGCACTACAAGGTCACCCTTAAACCATCTCACCCAATTTTGGTGTATGAATTCTTGTTTTAAAGATCAGGGAATCTGTAATTTGATAATACAGGAGAAGGTGTGTGGTATAATTCACGGAAAATAAGAAAATCTTACTTGATTCTTTTCCTAATGGTTAGCAGTCTCATTAATGCTGTGGCCTCCCACCTGAAATTTAAAGTGAGGAAAACTAAAAATACTTCTGCATTAGGGATAAATATAAATAGATGTTTGCAGAGTGTGAATATCCCCCTCTGCTTGTCAGATTCAGCACCGCGCACTGCGATAGCAAAAGCTGAAAGTAAACCCAAGCAAGTGATTTTCTGCTGTGGAAATAGAGTTTTCTTATTTGTGGAAACACTTCCACACTGGATTTCTGGGGGTTTCTGAGTTTCTCCCACTGCTGTACTGGGTGTTGCGTGAACCCGTGAGTGTTTTCTGGAGGTGGTGGTCTACGAAGGACGGCAGGTGTTGAATTGAAGCGCGTCACTTGAAAATTTGTCAGCCTTTAACGGAGGAGTTTCAGGTTTTTAAATGCTTTTCAATAATTTGCTTTACAGGACAGCATTATTTGTAGCTTGCTTGTGAATACAGGAACGGTGACCTGTGAATAATATATCGTAACCTGGAGTTGGAAGAGGAGTAAAATGTATTAACTAACCAAACTCACCTGAGGTGTTTCACTTCTTGTCTTTTACGCACGCAAGCTGCACAAGCGATTTTTCTGTTGGTCACTGTGGTGAAGCCGTTCTATTCTCGGGGTGCTGCTTGTGCTCTCCTGTAATTTCTTTCCATTCTTCTGTGTGTTTTGACAGAGGGAAGTCTTCCAGAACTATCACTTTTGAGCAGTTTAAGGAAGCTCTTCAAGAACTCTCCAAGAAGCGGTTTAAAGACAAGAGCGACGAGGAAGCAGTTCAAGAAATATATAAACTAATCGAAGGAAAAGCCCCGATTATATCCGGAGTAACGGTACGCCGCTCATCTCACGGCAGGGTTGTTCTCGCTGCCCTTTGTTGCGTTCACCTCCTTCGCTTTGCAGCCCTTTGGACTGAACCTGAGGGCAGCAACTACGCTGAGCTAAGTGGGAGTAAAGGTTGTGTAAGAGCTCAGTGTCACGCTCTGGTGTGGCATAGGCGTTGCTTCTACTAGAGCTTGCATCTACTACAGCTAGGAGTCGTAGTACCACCTAGCAGCACGGTCAGGAAAGTTCAAGGAGAGCTCTTGTGTGTGACGAGGAGACGGGAGTGTTCGGGAAGGGTGGGGGGTTCCAGTCCCGGTAGATGGGAATCAAGTTTTGAACCTCGTTAAACAGTTCTGAGATGTGTGAAACACCCCAAAGGCTAAAGCAAAGCGAAGGAATCTGAAAATAAATTTAATGTGCCGTGTGTGGCTCCCAGCACGCTGCAAAGCTGGGAATAATTATCATGTCTGGTCTTTGCTGTTTGTTTTGTTCTCTCAGAACTATAATATTCTTTTTTTTTTACTTTTTCCCTTTTTTCTGCTTTTTTCTTTTTCCCTTTTTCCTATTTTCACTTCTTCCTTGTCCTTTCTCTTTTTTCCTCTTCCCTCTTCCTTTTTCCTTTTTTCCTTTTTTTCCTTTTTTTGCCTTTTTTGCCCTTTTTTGCCTTTTTTGCCTTTTTTGCCTTTTTTGCCTTTTTTGCCTTTTTTGCCTTTTTGCCTTTTTTGCCTTTTTTTGCCTTTTTTCCTTTTTTTGCCTTTTTTCCTTTTTTTTTCCTTTTTTCCCTTTTTTCCCTTTTTTCCCTCTTTTCCCTCTTTTCCCTCTTTTCCCTCTTTTCCCTCTTTTCCCCTTTTTCCCCTTTTTCCCCTTTTTCCCCTTTTTCCCCTTTTTCCCCTTTTTCCCCTTTTTCCCCTTTTTCCCCTTTTTCCCCTTTTTCCCCTTTTTCCCCTTTTTTCTCTTTTTTCCCTTTTTTGCACCTTTTTTGCCTTTTTTGCCTTTTCTGCCTTTTTTGCCTTTTCTGCCTTTTTTCCCTTTTTTGCCTTTTGCCTCTCCTTTCTCTCCTTTCTCTCCTTTCTCTCCTTTCTCTCCTTTCTCTCCTTTCTTTCCTTTCTCTCTCTCCTTTCTCTCCTTTCTCTCCTTTCTCTCCTTTCTCTCCTTTCTCTCCTTTCTCTCCTTTCTCTCCTTTCTCTCTCTCCTTTCTCTCTTTCCTTTCCTTTCTTTCCTTTCTTCTTTTTTATTGGTATTAAGCTCTATGTATGAAAAGCAAGTTACAAAGCCCGGTGTACATAAGTTTGGTCGTCCTGGGAAATTTTTTGCCCTGTAATTTGGGAGTGTTTACCAGCGACTTGGATAGTCCTGGCAATTTAATGAATCTGTGTAAAATCTGCGATCCTCCTGAATTTTAAATTTTGGCTGTGGAGCAGGGGATGAAAATAATAGTCTTTTCAGAAATTGGTTCCACACAAGTGAATAGCGGAAATGTCAGGTTTTAAGTTGTGCAATTTGTTAGATTTTTACAAGATTTTATTTCCTTGCTCTTGTACTCTCTTTTGAAACGTGGACACTTTGATACAGACTTAAAATAGCGAACGTTTCTTTTTGTCCTTCGCTCATTTTAGTGAGTTTCAAAGCCTCGTTCATCCACCCCAGGATTCTCCCTTTGAATCGGGCACATTCTTCCAAAAGGAGTTTGTACGGTGATTATATTTGGTTCTGTTGTGCTAAATCAAACATTTTTCTTGAAGAGCAAGTTTTTAAATAAAAATAAAAGTTTTGAGTTCTCGCACATCTTTTGCAAACCTCTGTGTGTGTAAGAGAAGGGAAGGGAAGTGGAGGCTTCTGTGTGCTCACAGTAAGGAGAGCAGAAGGCTGGCTCTAAATAATTTATTGCCTTTAGAGAAACGTAACTAGAGAGATGATGTAACTTACTCTAGGTAGTAAACAGTTCGAGCAGAACTGCTGCGTGGCGAGACAGAACCGTTTTGTCTGTGATTCCGTGTGAAAAAGAAGGGAGAGTGTCAACTCGTGTAGATGGAAATGGTCCAGCCCTTCGTGCTGTTCTCTGTGTTTCTTTCTACGTTTTTCCCCACTGCTGGCCAAGCACTGGCACAAGTTGTTGTGTCTCCATCCCTGGAGAAATTCCGAAGCCACCCAGGCGTGATCCTGAGCAACGGGCTTTAGGTGGAAGGGTCGGGCTTTGGAGCAGGTGACCTCCAGAGGTCTCTTCCATCCTCAACCCTTCAATGGTCTCTTCTGTCTAACTACTAATGACAGGACAAGGGGAAATGGCCTCAAGTTGCGTCAGGGTAAGTTTAGATTGGATATTCGGGGGAAGTTCTTTCCTGAACGAGTGGTGAGGCACTGGAACAGGCTGCCCAGGGAGGTGGTGGAGTCACCAACCCTGGAGGTGTTTAAAAAAAAAAGTAGATCTAGCACTTGAGGCTGTGGTGTAGTGGTTGGGTGTGCTGGGATGAAGGTTGGACTGGATGATCTTCAGAGGTCCCTTCCAACCCCTGACATTCTGTGATTCTGTGAGACACAGTAGCACTAGCTGAGGAGTCCAAGAGAGGAGTGAAGTCTTTGTGTATTCTGCCCTGTGCTTACAAAGCTTTTTCTGAGAGAAAACACCTCAGCAGGAGGCTTAGGTTGTACCCGGCCGCTCTGTGTAATGTTCACACAACCTCAGCTGGAAGTAGTGTTTTCTTTCTAATGGGTTTTCACCATCAGAAGAATGAAAGGAGAAGGAGGAATGAGGTGTCCTGCACTGGTGAACCCTGAATGGGGAAGTAGCAAGGGAAATTAGTGGGAGAAAGCAAACAAAGAAACAAAACCCTGAAGCCCCACTCCGTGCAGGAAGGCTCGTGTGGCACGCTGCAGCCTTATTGTGAGGATGGACCTTCTTTTTCCTGATAAATCATCTGTGCTGTCTAAATCATTGGTGCAAGCTGTCTTGAGATAAACAACACATTCCTCAAATTTACTACTGGGAATGATGTCCTGGGAGTGGTTTCCCGGGAACATCATTATTGACACAGGCTGTTCCGTTCACCCTGGTTTTACTATTTCTTTGTGGGTGATAACGTATCTACATTTCCTTTCCTGTTGCACTCAGGCAAGTCTTACTGTGTCTGTTACACTCATGTCACTGCCCCAAAATGCGTATTTATTTTTATTTTTATTTCAGTATTGATGTAAATTTCATACTGATCATGCCACCCCTTTGGAACAGAGGAGCAGTTAAACTTAGCGTTACAAATTCTCAGAACAGCAGAACAGAGAATGAATTTGGAGAGGAAAAGGCAGTCAGCTAGAGGTTCTGAGAATTCTCTCTGCTTGTGAGAATGTGGTGTCCGTGCATGTGGAGAAAACTGATTTTTCTTAAAGCGGTGGCGATGAAATACAAGGAAAGTAAATATGTGTTAAGTTTGATTAACTCGATACTGAATTTGCCCTGTCTGGCATTTGGAGTGCTTCCATGTTTACGGTGCAAACAGCTTTTGTCACTGGTAACATCCTGTGGCTTGTAGCACTAGTGTTATATTAGTAAACATGGAGCAAAGTTTAGTTCTTTGATTATGTGATCAGCTCTCTTGCATCTTTTATAGTGGATTCTTCTGGCGTTAGGGCTGAGGAAAGATACTTTTAGCTTTTTCCTCGCTGGCTTACATGGCGAGAGTCATGGCTGGGGTCTTCATTTTCTCGGTGAGATCGTTAAGAGCGCCCAAGAAGCGTGCCCACAGCTAAGAAAACCTCTTGAGTAAGAAGCATCCTGCGCTCTTTCGGGGGCAGAAACATGTCAAGCAGTCCGGCAGTTTGTCGTCGAGCAGCGCCCGGGTTTGACTCGTGAGCAGGAAACCCTGAGCCGTGTCAAAGCTGCTTCCTACTGGTTGGTGCCAGAATTGTTGTTCAGGGTACAAGCCCCCGTGTTTCCCTTCGCTCGCCGAACAAAACTCATTCACAAGGCTTAAAATAGCACCGAATTCCTAGTGCCTGCGCGCCGGGTGAAGCCAAGAAGTTACGCACTCGTACAGAAGCGTGTGTCTTTGTTTTCCTGGATTAATTTCCAGCGACCAGACAAGCCTTTGTCCTGTCATGTGACTCTTTGTACAGCCTGTTTGATTTACTAAAACCTTGAGGAACAGGAAGAATTAAATTCTCAGCTGGGCACCAGCCTGGGAGTTTTAACTTTGCTGCATTTAATGCCTCGGCTTGTACGTTTTTGCTGCATTTTTATTTTAGCTAGCCAGGCTGCTAACAGAGCTGCTGATCACAGGGTGTATTTGTTTCAATCATCTCTGCTGTGTATACAGATTTCCTGGTTATAAGGTGCCAACAGGCCAGTGTGGACAAGAGAATTGTGTGTATTAAGAAGCAATACTTCTTCCTAAGCATTATCTTCATTTCTGTTCATTTGCTTCCCCGCAGTGAAGACTGTGTCGCTTCTCTTGCTAAAATGCACCCTAAGAGTGTAGTGCACATAAGAAGGATACCCGAATTTTATCAGTCTTTGTTCAGCTGAGCTCTATTTCCACTACAACACAAGAATCTTTTCCCTTCTCCTTTAGTGCCCTTTCTCTTCTGATTTTAAAATGCAAACGTAAGAATCAAAGAGACTGCTCCTAGTCCAAGCACACAAGTTAACATGCTCCTGTATCGTTCTGCGAAACTTTTCTATTTCTTCTTCCTATACTCAAATTTTCTTTGTCTCAATGACAGCAAAACTTTGCTTTTAAGTAGCCACAGTGGAAGCAACGTAAAGTCTCTGCTTAGTGCAATTTCATAGACTGCCAACATCAAAAAGAACTTTCCTCCTCGTTTGTTACTTCTCTCATGAATCCTGGAGCTTAGGATGGATTTGTCTCTTGAAACAATGAATTCTGGCTGTATTGATTTGCCTTTTCTGTTTTGGTGGAGCCAGGTTTTTATGCTTCAGTGTTGACCGTCATGTGAAAGGGTCCGTGGCTGAGCGAGGCTCTCGCAACTGATGTGATGGGTTTCGAACCTGACTGTTCCCTGTGGTTTCTTTGTAGCTTTGGTGCTTAGAACGTCATCATTAAGCGGAGGTGTCTCATAGTGAAAGTCTCTTTCCAGAAGTTTTTGACATAACTCAATTTTGTTCATGGCTGTGTGATTGTTGTCTTTGCATATAATGACAAGAAAAGATTTAAATGCCGGTAGCATGTACAAATGTCTGTGTTAAGAATAATTGATTTTTGACGTGTTTTGGGGTTTTTTTTCTGTTCTTTCTTCCAACAGAAAGCCATTTCATCTCCGACTGTATCGCGCCTTACAGATACATCGAAATTCACGGGTTCTCACAAAGAGAGGTTTGATCCCAGTGGGAAAGGAAAAGGCAAAGCTGGCCGAGAAGATCTGGTGGATTCTTCGGGATATGTATCTGGCTATAAGCACGCAGGCACGTACGATCATAAAGTGCAAGGAAGCAAGTAAGGCTGAGGGTTTCCAACAAGGAGGGAGAAAGAGAGGGGAGGAAAGAGAGTGTATCTGTGAGAATGATGTAGATGAATCCCACGTGTTTTGGTTATTGTAAATGCTAAGACTATGTTGTCAAGAAGTTGTTTTCAGGAACTGGAACTGATTTCAACATCTGCTGAGCTACTTTTGCAGCACAACGCCACTTCATTACATTCCTCATGCGTATATTGGCAAAAGTAAATCTCTTGGTACAAAAACCACACGATTTTGTTGAGCTTTAGGCAAAAAAGAAACCAAAACAACAACAACAAAGTCAAGAGCAGTTATACCACACTTTGTAAATTCAAGCAAAAGATCTCAAACATTCCTATTTGTCCAGTTGCCCTGAGGATGTTGAAGGGAAGCTCTTGTAAAGAGAGTTTTTATAGCAGTCTTTCTGAGTAATATGCTACCATTATTTATTTAGTTTGATTTGACTACTGGTTTGGAGGGCTTTTTAAAAAATGTCTTATACAGGATCTGGCACTTTCCTTCAAACATTCAACAATATACTGTTGGGGAGTAAGTGGTTGTAATATATAAGGTGCTAGCCTGTAAATGTCATACACCGCTCGTGAAAAACTGAAAAAAAAATTAAAAAAACCTGTTTCTAGAACAGTATAGGTTCTAAAGTATTTCATGTCAACAGAAAGAGGTGGAAAATACCAGCCCTTACTTTCCTCCTTGTCTCCACTTTGTGCTTGTTACCGTGTGTGCCGTGGCGTGATTCCGACCGGCTGGATTTGGATGGAGCTGTTGAACTAACCCGAAAGGCGAGGAGCAAGGCGTCACCTGGAAAGTCTAGCAAAGCTTCTCGCCGTCCGTTTTCAAGTTTGCCTTTCAAGTGAGGGGGGCATTAAGCTCATAATGCTTTAAGAGACTGATCCCAGCTAAACACTGCCGATCAGACTGCTGTCAGGAAAATGTTATTATGCACCTGCATTGTATTCCCTTTAAGCTATAGCAGACATAAGGAAAGTTTACAGTCCCTTGGGATAAGGACAGTGACAATTAATATCCGTGTAATTAGGTGCAAATTGCCCCCAAAAATATACTAGTACAACTAGGCTACATTTTATGTTAGATTTGTTTGAAGCCGAGGGGTTTGATTCTCCGTTCACCTTTGCTGCCTGACTTAGGAGTCGTAGCATCCATGGGAATGGCTTTCCCGGGAAGGAGAACCAGTTCCCCAGGCTTAAGGTGCAGGCAGCTGAGTGTGACCCACCTGGGGCCCAGAACGCCAAAACAGCTCAACAAGAATAAAAATAATTCACTTTTTTAATATTGGTTAAAAAGGAGAGGAAAGGCCAATCCAATTTTCTGCAAGAGCTGAACAAGTACCCTAATGTATTTCTCTGCTATCTTGAAAATTATGGACGACGAGATTTTCAGTATTCGCAGGCAGCTGCCAGCAGTTCTGCTTTGCTTTCTTTTAGAAAGAGCTCATGCGCTGGTTTCCATACTCCCCTCTGAATAAAGGTTAATAAATTTACTGCTCTCCCCTCCCTGTATTAGCACCCCGCTCAGAGCACGTAAAATTTGTGTGTGCTGTCACGTGCCACGCAGGTCAGCAGCGTGTGTTTGGCCAGTGTCTGGAAACAGAACACTGATTTTCTTTCAGCCCTTAAACTGTTGATTCCGGTTTTGTTTTCCCAACATTGCATGGTAGCCTTCCTTGGAACTTTGCCTCCAGTGACCCTCCGAGCCCCTACATCTGCCCGAAACCCAAACAACAGTAGCAAACAAGGGCAAGGACTTCCTTGTGGACTTGGAGACTTTTTTTGTTCGTTTGTTTATAATTTATTCTGGGTTTTGAAGAGGGAGGGAATTTTGCCAAACCTCAGCACATGTTCTTGTAAAGACTTAAATGGCTTGTTCCCATGGCTGGCTCTGGTTACCTGTACAGATATTTTTTTTTTTTGATGCGGGTAAGGATGCTCAGGATGAAGGATGCTCAGGATGAGAAGCATCCAGCTTTGTGGAGCCTCTCTGAGAGTTACCTCTTCTTGAAGAAGACTTTACATGGCCTGAAGGATTACCTACTCCTGTGTTGCGCTGGTGACCTGTCACATTCTGAGGCAGAAAATGTGCTACCAACAGTGGCTCTGTCATTCCAGTCTGGTAGCGATCCTGTGATGTTGAGAACCTTCTTCTACATCACCTGGCTGCTTTTTGCCAGCTCGCTGCCTTCTCTGCTGCGTGAGGTGACGCTTAACCCGAGGTGCACGAGGGCTTTCTCAGCTCCCCAAGCACTGTCGGCAGTGCCAGCCCATCGCTACGCAGGAGGAGCGATTGCTTAGGGAGGTTTTAAGGTATCATTAGGTTTTAATTTCAGGGCGTGGGAGGGGTCGGCACGCTCCTCAGGTAGAGGGCACGTGAAGGAATGGAGAATGTGGACAGATCCAGGCTGACAGACCAGAAATGGAGCTGCTCTGCTTGCTGGAACTCGCTGGGCTTCTGCCAGAGTTCAGTTTGCATCGGTTGAAGGGTATCAAATCCTTGCTGCGAACCCAAGCGCTTCGCGTGGACCTGATGGGAAGTTCTTTGAAATACCTTCCGTGGCGTAGTAAGCTTTGGCACAGGCCTTGAGGGGCTCCTTCAGGTAGCAGTGTTCTGAGGGCTGCATTTCTTTTGTGTCTTCTTTATTTCTGCAGCCGGATAGCTTCCAAACTCCAACAGGTGCATGAAGAGAAGTTGTTCTGATCTGACAGTGACAAAGGGAATTTGTGGCTGGAAAGACAGGATTCAGGAAAGATTTTTTGCTTCTGTTATACTTGGTGTAAAAGACAAGGGCTGTGAAACAAGAAGCACCATATGCAGCTGTGTATTAGGGGTTCAGCCACCTACTTAAGCTTTTTCTTTTCCACTAATAAATGTAGGAAATCAAAAGCCTTGGTATTAGCTTGAGTGGTAGCCCTAAGGTCCAAGCCTGCTTGGGAATGAGGCAAAGTGCGTTTTCTTGTTCATCTGCTGTTCTCTCAGCTCTCGGGGCGGCTCGGAGATGAGGGGAAGGGAAGACCCGTTCTCAGCCCTTGAAGTGTTGCAGAGATCTCTCTGCGCACCCTACTCCAGACTATTCCTAAATGTTGTGCCTGAAGTAAGGCTGTGGGTACCTGGTAATTTTTACACTCACCTCCTCTTTTGGGGCATCTCAACTCGTTCCGTCTGACTTTCCAGTCTGATTTGCAGCATCTTCTACTCTGCAGCACTTCTCTGTGTGACATCTTGTATAAAACTCTTGTTCCCAATTATCTTTGCTCTCCTTACCGCTGCACATGCTGCTGAAAGAAATGTGATCAGAAGGTTCAGGTAGCTTTTAGCAATAACAGCCTTAAAGAGGAAACTCAAATTACACCGTTTTAAAAAAAATAACCCTAAAATCCTATGGCAGTACATGGTACGTGTAACTCCACGGAGGCTTAACCTGTCAAATGAGTTTTCTTATTAGCGCTTGCTTACTAATTCCCTCCGGTCACTCCAGGTTACTTTTGGAGAGTTTTGCAGCAATCTTATCAGTATGGAAATATTGGAAACAAAAATCATTGTCCTGCTTTTTGTGGCCATCATGGCAGTGCTACTGAGAAGCAGAAATTAAAAACAAATGTGTTGTTCCAACAGTCCCGTGTGGACAATTGTCATTAATTGTAATCAAATGTTTGGAATCTCAGAGGAAATGTTGAGCCTTGGACAGTGGCCAAGATCTAGCCACTTTTTTTTTTTCTTTTTAACCTACAATGTTTCTTACCTCCTTTTTACTTTAGAGAAGGAAAAGTGAGATTTCAAAGCTACTCACATGTCACAACTTATGTTTTTCACCAGTACAGAGATTGTGCTTCAAAGATATTTTGAAGTGTGATATTTTCCGTGTATTTTACTGACCTCAGTGAAATTGAGAATTTCTCGGACAACTTTTTGACGTTCTAGAAAGCTCTGTTCATGAATTAGCGCTTCTGTATTTCCCCTCTGTTGCCCCAATCAATATTTTTTATGGTAGCTGGAACTAGCCCGAACTAAAAGGCAAGGGACTGCTCTGGGTTTGGTTTGCAAGTGACGGGTATCCCAGCCACCCAGAGCCAGCCCTAGAGAAAACCTTCGTGTATCTTTCTCCAGACCCAAAACTTTCAAGTTGTGATGGATAGGTTTTTTCCTTAAGGCTTGTCACAGTTAGAAAACAAATCTTAATTCTTTGTGCCTGCATGTTTGATAGTCAAAACAGAACCCTGCCCTCCTGCGCCGCATGTATTCCGGGGGCACGTGCCTGTCATCCGTGAGTGAGAATTCTCTTTGCACCTGCCAGGAAACAAAGCTTCTCCCCTCGTGACAGCGCAGCTGTGGTGTGTTGCACTAGTAGTCGTCCTCTTCACTGACCTGTCGGCCTTGCGTGTGTGCCAAAACCGTGTGTGCACTGTTTGTGGTGTGCTTGTCACGTTCTTGGCTCGTCTGTTAATTGGTAATAAGTACTGTGATGCACAAGACTTCTACAGGTTTGCACGTGTGTACACGAGTTTTTTGGATCTAGCTGAGTAACTGAACCACAGAGGTGTTGACCCGAACCTTAAGTCTTTTTACGGCCAAACTCTAGATGCTGCCTGGCGTGGCCAGCTGGTGACACTGCCGTTCTTCCTCCCTAGCACCAAGGGAAAGAACTCTAAGGAGACTTTTATGTTTTTACACCTCTAGCCTGTCCCTGTTTCTAGGGAAAATCGTTCTTCAGTGATTCTACCATAGAGCTGGTGTGACAAAAAAACCCCAAAACCGCTGTGAAAGCTGTCCCAGCCACAATATTGCAGATAGAACCTCCATATCTTAACTGTCCAAGTAATGTCTTTACAGGGAGAAGCAACTCTAATATGTGTGGTATTTTTTCATGTTTTTCCATTATGTTACGTTGGCTATATTGCTTCGAAACCCACACGGAAAAGGTGAATTTCAAAACAAGATTAAGATACAGTTCTGTGTTAGAAAACGTTTGGCCTGGCTTGTTTCATTCAAACTGCTGAGCATCGACTCCAGCTCAACTTTGGCAAGAGCAAGCCTGATAAAAAATAAAAGGGAAGAAAAACCAGCCAGTTTGCTGAGTATTCTTGACAG